AGCCCAACCCGCCTATTCCTCCTTACTGTTTGCAACGTTTATTAAACGTTGCAAAAGGTTTATTCTTTTGCAACGTCTAATAAGCGTTGCAAAAGGATAAATTTTTTGCAACTTCTACTAAACGTTGCGAAAGGTGACATTAGCAACATTTTCTTATCAAATGTTGCCAAAAGTCAATTATATTAACCCAATAGCAACATTCACTTATTAAAATGTTGCAGTTGACCCCTTTAACAACACTTATCTAACGAATGTTGCCGTTCATGTGTTGCAAAATGTCATTTTTGGCGTAGTGTCTTAAAATTAGAGTAATGATATTTAGTACTATTAATGTCAAAACATCAGTTTACGTGACACTAATATGAGAAATGCAATTAAATAAATCACTTAATTTCATCATTCATTGAACATATCACATGCACCACCTAAATTGGTGTCATAGCACTAGTGGTGCTAAATAGCTTTATTCTAAAAATTATGACCATTGAACTTTGTACGATGTTTTTCATTGGACATTAAACTTTTAAAGTTTTTCGGATGGTTAGCGACTTATCAAATCGTTATATCATCCATTACTCAAAAACTCACCATTTGGAAATTTAACTAACTCGCTAACGCGGCAAATGATGACAAAATATTATGCAATATTTAATGACCATTTAGATTTTTAACTCTACGAACTATCTGGAAATATCCACAGAAGAACAAAAAATAGGATTATTCAGAAAACGTGTTTTGATAAATCTACAAGCCATCTATGTTACATGCTTTCAACCACCCATCTTTATAAACATGGACTATTCAGGTCCACAAGGACGAAAATCGATTCCCGAATGTTCAGCCCAAATGTATATAAGTTGTGATCGCATTCGGATGTACCCAAGTGATGAACTGGGGGAAAGGCTGCCACTCCTCATGATTAGATGGGCGACATTCGGATACCTGAATTATCAAAAAAAGAAAAAACATGGACTATTCCATGTTTAACCAACGAATCACATTATTATCGATATTTCACAATCTTCAATTACTTGAAGGAGGATAGTATTTGGAAATGGGATATAGAATCACTATATGAATTTATGGGGTGTAATCCTTTATTTAATATGTTAGATCGAATATGATTCAGGAAAAAAGGTACAGACATTGCCCTATCCAATTAAACCTAGGATATATTATACATGCCATAGAGATGTCAGAAGGCAATTGGAAGAAAATGCTGTGAGTATGCCGAATGAACCTAGTGCTCAAGAAAGCAACATTATAATTCTTGGATTCTATCTGGTTGATTCTCAAGTTCACTAAGGATTACATCAACCTGACACCACTAATTTTTGCTTCCACTAGGCTTAGAAATAGAACATAGAGACGTGTTTAAGAATGTCTCAAATCTCATAAATCAATCATCTCGACAACATTTTTCGTTCATAAAAACAAATTGTCTAAGCAAATATGAGAAGTAAAATTGATTTGCTAGCACATCATTAAGAAATACTAGTATTTTGGAATTAGTTTACGAGTGTAACAGAAACTGCACACTTAATATGCATGTGTAAAGACGTTTCTACACCAAAATTAGATAGGAAAGGACAATAAAACATCTTTGTAGTAGAGGTAAATTTGATGTGACTATATAGAAGGGATATCAAAATGTCTTAACATTTTTTACAATCGAAATGTTACTCGATGACATATGTTCATAGGCCATAATCGAAAGAAGATTCAATTGAAAGCTTAAAAAAAGAGGCATGAACTTAATAGCTTCTAAATGAGAAGAATACAGTAGAAAACAAAATTTAACATAGGATGGTTATATAATACATCATTTGATGTTGTGTTACAACCTTTTTGTCCACAACCTGAGTTTTATTCAACAAATTTAAGAAAGATAAAACTGAAGATGAACTTGGCAATCACATTTCCAGGCTATTGAAGCCAAGTAACTTTGTAAGACCAAATGTAATACCCATAGCCATCCACTGGAGCCCCGCCCATCACTGCCCCAACTTCTCCAAAAGCAATCAATGCTAAGGTGACTGCTGCCACCACAACTCCTAGCTTCACCTTATAATTTTCAGTGAATGCAGCTGCAAGTAATGGTACAATGGCGCCTAAAGAAAATGCCAGGGCTGATGCCATGGCTGCCTGCCCAGCTGTCACGCAGATTCGACACGACAAGGACTCTAACAGCTAGGCGTGATGCCTATTTTACCAATAGTGCACTAATGATATATGATCATATGCAGGTATTCTCCCTAACATCCTACTCATAACATACGTGTATGTCAGTTGTTCGGGCTTGCCGGCCTTAGAATGAGAGGAGGCCGGCCTTGAGGTGTTGTACCTCGGGAGCCAAACTTGCGATCCGTGAAAGTTGGTATCAGAGCGGGTCTGCTTGAGCATGCGGTGTTGTTATGGAACAATGTCGTGTGTTCCTACGGAGAAAAGATTTTGGGCCATGGATCGTGTCGGCAAGCTGGCGGAACACGACGAAGGAAGCTGTGGGCAAGAAGGATGAAAAAAGGTAGCGTTGAGCAATTGCCTAGGTGCCTTTCAAGGAGTTTTTGAGAAGCGCACCTTGTAGGGATTTTCGACATGTGTTGAGGCACTACGGTTTGGAGGCCATCCACTCGAGGAGAAGCAGAGGGTGAAAGTTGGTGTCGAAGGCAGTAAGTACGAGTTACGGCAGGTTTGTGAACGCCAGTCCATATGGAGTGGTGTCGTTGTTATTCTTGCAATGAGACTGATGCGTGTTGATAACTCACTTCTCGCTACGAGGACGTAAGCGAATTCAAATGGGGGAGAATGTCACGCAGTGAGAATGCTTATCCCCCCATTCGGCACAACAAGGACGCTAACAGCTAGGCGCGATGCCTATTTTACCCAATAGTGCACTAATGATATATAATCATATGCAGGTATTCTCCCTTACATCCTACTCATAGTATGCGTGTATGCCAGTTGTTCGGGCTTGCCGGCCTCAGAATGAGGGGAAGGCAGCCTTGAGGCATTGTACCTCAGGAGCCAAACCTGAGGTCCATGAAACCAGGGTTGGGGAGTTTTTCCTTTTCTAATTCTCCTTCATTCTTTCCATTGTTTATCATTCTCCTTTCTCTCTTCACATGAGCAATTTATATGTCTAGCTGAGAGTACACGAAGACAAACTCTCCCACTGCCATGCTAAAAGCACCGGCGAATAGCCCTGAAAATCCAGTAAGAACCATCACATTGGCATCTTCTTTTACAGCTCCAACTCCCATCATTAATGATGTAATGGATTTCCATCGTTGGCTCCGAGAACATCAGCACGAAGCCATTGTGCTCTTTGTGAGTAATCGAAGTCTTGATCTTCTGGAGAATTGCACTGATTTTGTTGTGCATTGTGCTCAGGGATCACAATTTGCAATGGTTTAGGGTAGCCATGAAGAATTATGAATAAGTAGCAGCTAAATAGGTTGTTTTTACTAATGATAAGTTGATTGTTGAAGGCGCAATGCTTCACGAACGAGTGAAGGGTTATATACACTAAAGGGAAACTAAAAAATAATCAGTGTTAATGGGCATGTATGCAGGATTAAGTGGTACACAAAAAAATAATAAATAAAAAAGTAAAAAGAGGAGCACAAGCCATACTGACTCTTTAATCCAACTATTGGCAGTTGGACTAACATAACTAGACAACATTAATGAACAAAAACATATGAAATGTTTGGTAGTTGTAATATCAAATGTTGGGGTTCTTTTAAAATTGGCCAAGTCAAAGGGGCCAAATTCAACTTTGACTTTTCCACTATTGAATATTTCACAGTTGGCCTAATGGTGTTCAAAACACAAAAATGTCCTTAAGTGAATAAACCAATTACAAAATATGGTTTTATTAA